TCCTTCCCACTTCATGCTAGAATGTTAACTGGCTTGGTCTTGTTTGAGTATTATGCAAACCTCCACAGCTTCTTGGAGTTCATGAATGCCTTAGTCATGTCATATCCAGAAAACACTGGAAATAGGTGTTCCAAAGACCCCAACTACAACTTGGTTGTAAGATCATGTTGCTAAGACACCACACACATTGGTTACAGGATAATGAGAAATCAAGTAGATAATGACCTAGAAGCTTCTTTTCCTTTGGTTGGTTTTCATAGTAGGTAGCATGGTCATCAATAGACTTACTCAGCTGTGACCCATGTGAACTTAAATAACAATACGCTCGTATGTTCAATAATGATACACATACTATGGAGGTAACTATTTGCTTTCTGGTTAGATTTTAAGGACCACCCCAGACTGGGAAACACATATCTGATATTGTATATTTGATCAAGAATCCATCACAAGTCCTGGGGGTAAACTCACTATTACCATTCTGTTAAATGGACATACTATCAAACGATCCTCTAAATCCCTGTCTGTCTACCCTTATGTTAGTGCAACTTTCAAACATCATCAGAGAAAGTTCTTGGTGTAGTAGATCGTGGTTAATGAAGACACTCACAGTTGGTCAAAGTGCAGAGTGGAAGTGACTATGGGGTGTGCAGCCTCAAATGGGACATTTTTATTCCACCTCACCCCAAGACTCAGGGATCATAGTGGAAGACAGAGACAGAAAGATTATGAGAGTCAGAGACCAGGGAGGACCAGAGAGAAACAATGTCTCCTTAGATCTCTTATAACATGGTTAGATCTTCAGAAAATTACAGAGTTTCAGAATTAACTAGAGTATCATATATTTTAACTACAAAAAGGATTGATTACTGAAAAAAATATTTCATTACTATGTTTTATTTTATTTCCATGAAATTCCCTTTTGTCCATATGTGAGTAGACTGTACTTGTTTGTTACAAGGGAGAAGCTATGGTCCCCCCCCCCCAATTTTATCCCTTTTCTGGGAACTTTGTGTAGATTGGAAATCATTGTTGAAGCTGTGTGGATATCCTCTGGGCAGGTATGTCCTAGAGGATCAAGGTGTTCAAAATTAAAATAAAAAACAATCTCCCCAAATGGACTATATGTATGTATCTATTTGGGATTTCTATTTGGGATTATTTTCCAATTATATAAAAGTATAGATTTTAGTTAAATGAACTCATATATGTTTAGAACAATTTCAATAGTTTATATAGTTTGGTTCACCTGTAACTTCCCTTCAGATTTCTTTCCCTCAACCTAGTCTTGTTATCAGTTATCTGAAATATGAAGGAGTTCTGCCTGGATTTACAGGAGATATAAAGATGAATGAGGTTCTGACTTCTTGGAGTGCCTGAAATTTAAGGTGATCAGGTGTTGTATCACACATTTATTAAGTTGGGAGTGCATTGAGAGAGGGTAATAGCTGAGGCAACTCTCTTAATTAATTTTTGAAACCCTTGTTCCTTCAGCCACATTACACCATCGCTATAGATCCTGCCATGGGGCTATTTCTTTCTTTATTCAGTAGGCATAGTAAGTCAGAACCTCTAAAATAGCAAATTGCCTTTGCCAAATCTGCCGGGTTGATATTGCTAAGTAGTTTCATGCTGTTGTTGAAGTTAAGGCTGGTGGAGAGAAAGGAGAGTGGTGAGGACGGTAACTCTCTGGGACATGCCAGGTGCCTCAAAGCCCAGATATTTGTATCACCGAGGAGGAGCGTGGCTGTCAAACTTTGGCATGTACTGGAATCACCTGGAGAGCTCATAAACACAAAGTAGGACACATTGCTGAGTCCTACTTCTTCCGGATTCTCTAACTCTGAGAAGAAACCCATGAGTTTGCATTTCTAAGAATTTCATAATACTGCTGAGACCAGACGTCTCAGGCCCACACTGACAGCCACTGGTGTAAATCACTTTCATTTGCATAAGGAGAATAAATATCAGCACAGGACAAGAATACCTAGGCCTTCAGATAATCATTCACCAGGACCATACAGAGATAGATAGTCTGAAGAATTTTATTATTTCATCTATGCTAGACTCTGCTGGGCTAGAGCTGGCTTGAATTGGATTTTTATTTTATTTTTAGTTTTAGGGTTTTTCAAGACAGATTTCTTTTTGTAGTCTTGGCTGTCTGGAACTAACTCTATAGAACAGAGCTCAGTCTGCCTCTGCCTCTGCCTCTGCCCTCTCTATCTCAGGCTTCTCTGCCTCTGCCATCCTGGGTTAAAGGCGTGTGGCACCATCACTCAGCCAGTTGGATTTTTAAATGATTATTTTTCATGTCAATTCGTGCCTTAATGTATTTATGATCACGATGTGTTGTTTAAGAGTATATTTGTGTGTGTATGACAGGTATGTGTATTTCCAGAGAGGCCTAAAGGGCTGGAGTTGCATGTCCTGAGTCACAGGATGTGGGGTGCTGGGACGTGAACTCAGATTCTCTGTAAGAGCAGTAAGTGCTCCTAACTACTGAGCAACCTCTCCAACCTCTGGTATTGCATTTTTGGATTGAAGGAAAACTTCACTGGTTTTTCTGGCTTCTAATATATTATCATTTTGTATAGGTACCTTAAAAGCTTCCTGGAGACAAAGTTTCCTTTCATGCTTTAGGAAAACCAACTGGCCTACAGTTCTAAGCATAACATGACTACAACCACATTGCTTTTCTTAATATTTTAGATTGTATACTAAATTGGAAACCCCCTCTACCTTGTAAAGTCACCTGTGCTTTCCTTTTGCACGAGAATGGTTTTTGTCATTCTAACATTGTAAAACTTATTATGAATCTATAATTGGAAATATCAATTGATAGCAAAGAAATGAAGGACAATGCTTTGGTTTAACTTATTCCAACTTTGCAGAAATTGCCCTGCCATTAAGTATAGTTCAGGAACATTGAAGGGTAAAGGTACGAACTGAATATAGATTGCATTGTACTGTTTTTGTTCTGATTGTGGCTGGCATTGCACACTTGTGGAGGACAGAGGACAACATTGAGGAGTCGATCCCCCTTTCCATCAGGCGGGTTCCAGGAAACAGCCTAGGGATGGTAGACTAAGCAGCAAGTACCTTTCCAAGTCAAAGCATCCTGCTGCCAACATTTATCCCTTTGGTTGGTCCAATTTGCTAATTCGTTTCCCTCATCTAATCTTACTGCCTCCCTGTACATTGTTCTTGCTGGATGATCATTACAAATCCATGTCTCATAATACTTCATAAAATCTTCCACAGATTTCCTTTCTCTAGAGTAGTAATCAAAAGCCTGAATGCATCCCCAAAGCCAGCATTCCACAGCCAACAAGCATGCACTAAAATAACTCTTGTCTGTTCCCCAGGCACACCTTAAACTGATCTCTTTCATCTCTGCATGACAACCTTGCTGGCTTTCTTCAGTAAGCAGTCCTTGGAGGGTCTGGGCCTTTGCACATACATTACCTCTGTCTTACATCACATCACCCTCTCATCTTGGTTTGCAGGTTAGATCTCAGTTTGTATCACTCTTACCACCCAAGGAATCTTGTGGTGTTTTGTTTCATGGCCTCTGTCAGGGTTCTATGGTCATAGGCATTTCTGTCTTAGTAGAGCAATGCCTGCTTTCCTTCACAAGGCTGAGCCCCATGGCAGCCCGTTGCTGGCTATTAATAGTATCAATATATGCCAGAGTATGTCCCATCCACATACTCTGAACTCAGTGTGTCTTACCCATTGTTTAACGAGTGTGTGATACTTGGAATATCTTTCTTTTCTCTATATTTTCTAGACCCCCCACACTCCCCCCATCACAGAGATGCCCAATCTTATCATCTATTAGCCATTTTGAGAAGCTACTCAAGAGATTGAGATTGGACTATGGTGATTCTTAACCTTAGCTGCTGTGAGAATTATCTGGGGAGCTTTTAATAAATACCCATACTCAGGCTCACCACAGACCCATTAAATTGCCATTTCTGGAGGTGGGACTCCAGCAACAGGTTTTTTCAAAAGCTCCCTCAGTGATTCTAATGTGCAGCCAGGGCTGTAAAACATGCTTTCGTGGATGAAATCTGAATACCTGTCTGTTCACGAGCTGTATGACCCAAGACTCTTAGCCTGTTACATTTCTAATTCTAATTATACGGCTGCTCTATTTCTTTACTGTCTGTGGATTCATTTACATCTTTTAACAGTTATTTAAAGTCATATATTGTTAAATCGTATCTTTGCCATGATAACACATTGCTCATAGAAACAAAGTTCCCAGTAGGAGCTGTGAAAGATGTACTATGTAGCCAGACACAGCTGCGATTCTGATCTGGAATCCTTTCTCACTCACCTAATACAATTGGTTTGACAAACTTGACCCTAGAACTATCTTTCTATTCATCTTCCCACTATGTACACGCACTGTTTTCCACTCAGGGTACAAATACAACAGTTGGCCTGGTGTATGCAAGAGCATCACTGTAACCCAACCCCCTCCTTATAAGACAGACACATTCACTGGATCTACTTCTATTGTCATCTGACAACTGAAGGGGCACCTCGCTGATTGCTACAACATCGAGAGAGCAGCAGCAACCAACATTGCTGCAAAAGCAGAAGCTAAAGAAACTTGTGGTGTGGAGCGAGCCATCAGAGAGACTGAAAACGAGGCCTGGTGAAATCAGGAAGCCTTTCCCTCCGAGGACAGTTGCAGCAGGCGGCACTGAGTCACTCCCTCAGTATTGTCTGTCCTAGCTGCAGCGAACAGGAAGTGAAAGTTCAGCATTGCTTACTGTCAATTACTGTCTACATAAACAGACACAGGAAGATCAAATCATGTTGCTTGGCCCTGTTGCCCTTGGATGTTTTGATAAACATATTAGCTAGTTACTCAGAATAAATTTCAACTGAACATACCCCAAGGCCAAGTTTTATGATTTTCCTTTTGAATTGTCTTTTTTTCCCCCCTAAGCATCCTCTGTTCCCACACATTTTCGTTTTGAACTCACCAACCTCCAATCCCTGGGCCTTGACTCCCTTTCTGCTGTTGGGAGGGACACTCTCATCATCCAGGCCCCTCATAAAGGTGCATGCCGTGCCAGGGAGTAATCCCCCTGGGTCACTAATGGGTATCCACACGTCTGAGAATGCTGTTGAGAAGCTTCTGAAGTGGAATGCGATTCCAGCTGTAGCAATTACATACTGCTCAGATTTCCTAGCTGGGACTCCGGGGAGTTCAGCCACTGCCTATTAGCAGGCCCGAGGATGGAGGAAGCGCTGTAAATCTCCCAAGCAGTGATAGAGCTGATGCTTCTGGGCCAAGTCGGAAAGAGTGAACTGCAATTATAAAACAGAACTGTGAACTTTGGCCTCTAAAGAGCACAACACCCACAGTGCATTAATGAAGACCATGAGAGGATAAACCAAACTCTAAACATTCCTTATATCTCTTTTCAGTTATCTTGTTGCAAGCAGAATAAAGGATGAAAGTAAACATCAAGAATCCAAATTAGTCTGAAAGACTCATATAAAGCTCCAACAAATACCCTGTCTTTTGGAACCTTCACAAACATTTGCTTTACATGTGATCTGGCCAGTCAAGTTATGCAGAAGGCAAAGAGCTTGGACCCCTGGGTATAGATAGGTATCATTAAAAATGTTCTTAGTCAATGAGGAGTTGAATTTGTTTTTTGAACAGCCTGCTCCTTATATAGAGTTTATAAAATAACTTAGACTATATTTATATAATGTGCTTCCAGATAACATAGGTTTGTTAAATTACTATGTTCACAAAAGGTAACAAAACTGATGACTAGTAAGTTTAAATCAGTCAATGATGATGCACCACATGGAAGAAATAAAGACTGCATTTCTCTTCTGTTTGAGACTAAGAGTGCTTTCTCTTAGGTGACATTTCTACTGTGGCTCTAACTTGTGTTGGATATAATGGGGATATTCACTAAAGACCAAAAATCCCTACAAATCACATATGCTTGAACTAGGCATGTTTTGCTTTAAAATGGTTATACGTTGAGATGATTCATCTCCTCTCATTTTTTTTTAAATAAAGAAATAAACTAGACGCAATGGAGGACTGCTTTAATCCCACCACAGGGAGGTAGAGAAGGACCTTCTCTGAGTTCTATGGCAGCCTGGTCTCTGAGTTTCAGAAGAGCAAAGGACACACAGAGAAACCCTGTCTCAAAACACCAAAAACCAATCCCAAACAACAGCAAACAAAACAAAACAAAACAAAACAAAGCAAAACAACAACAACAAAAAAAAAACAAAGAGAAGAAATAAGAAAATGGGAATATCTGTAGTCCCTTTCACTTTACCCCAAATCCTAAATAAAATAAATGGATTCAGACAACTGGCTGAGACTCTATCCTGTACATGCCTCAGAGCAGGAAGCATGACACTTAAGCTGAAGGTATAAGAACAGTAATTTCTAAGGATTTGTTTATGTGTAAGAAGTATTTAGTCATTTTTATTTTGAGATAGTGTCTGAATGTACAAAGTATGGCTAGGCTTATGCAACCCAGAGTGCCCTAAATTCAAGATCTTCCTGCCATAAACTCTTATGACTTAATGTCAACTTTTCACCATTCTTAAGTTTACATTCTTATACATTTTAAGGTGGGGACAGTGGCACTAAGTACAATGTCAGTGTTCAGGAGACTGACTGAGAAGGACCACAAGATTTAGGACAGTCAGAGATGCACAGTTTGATCCTGAGCTAAGGTAAGAACTGGAAGAATGGTATGATTCTTGTTTAATTTGTATTTTGCATGCATGGCTAAATTATGTGGTTTTAATCTTAAAAAAAAACAAAAGCAGTAGTTTCTGGGATGTAGACCCATTTTCAACAAAATGCAAATTACAAAATTACACAAAACAAACCAATTCCTATCACCCCTTGATTAACCTAAAGGAGCTAGTAAAGAGTACTTTGCAGACTGGTGATCGCCAACAGGAAGTCCACTGAAAAGATAACTATGCTCTTTGTTGTCAGATGAAACAATAATATCAGATTAGATAGGATCGTCTTGTGCATAGCACCAGGAAAATCTCAAACAATTTTGAAATGGGAAAAACTGTGGATGCATGTAAGTTTGTGACCCATTACCTCTGAGTCAGAATGGCTTCCCACGGTAACTTTTTATGGCGTTGGCACTGGTGGGAAGCTTAAATGGTCAAGCTTCCAGTTACATACATAAGATGCAAAGGGAAGAGGAAACTTCCTGCCTGGTGGAATAAACACTTCCGTGTGCTTGGAAGTGCTTTGGTGATGCCATTGATTTTTGAAACATATCTTTCCCTTCCTGGTCTTTAGATAAAGATTGTGTAGGCTTGTCTCCATGAGATCCCTGTTTTCCTGGCAGCAAGTTGCTGACATTATTCTAGAAAAATGCAGTCAGTTACATTCAGTCACTGCAAGTATTAATGAGTAGATTAGTGTAGAAGACCTAAGGACGACATATGGAAACAGCATAAATTATGTATAAGTTAGATATGTGTAGTTACATTTCTTATTTTTAAGTGGTATTTTGGAAGTAGAGAAAGACAGTTATCTCATAGTTTTTTTTTTCCAGAGAAAAACTTTTTAAAAATTAAACTTAATAGCCTGAAAAAAATTCCTCTAGTGTATAAAATCACACCATAAAATTCTAGGTAGTATAATTGGAAATTTAAGTATGTTGTGTATACATAGGATTTTGAGCTTTTAAAACTTCATTGTTCATTGTACTTAGCACATAAAATTAACTGAAATTCAAAGGAGAGTTGTTATGAGTTTTTCTCTGACCTGTCATCCAGCTTCCAAATAATGACACTGAGACTTCTTCCTATTAAAGCTAGGCCCGTAGCTTAGGCTTGTTCCTAACTAAGTACAATAACTTAAATTAGCCCACATTTTTATTTACCTTCTTATTACTATGTGGCTTTTACCTCCATGACATTCTGTCTGGCTGGTTTCTTCAACTCTCTTCTTCCCAGAGTCCTCTTTCTGCTCTGAAGTCCCACCTATACCTGATGCCTAGCTATTGGTCATTTGTATTACACCAGTCACATCAGTATTTTCACATAGTGTATAGGAATATTTTGCAACAGACCATTTTAGATAACTCAAGAATCCTCCAGGCTGCCCGGACTCGTTGGCGCTGGCCTATGAAATATAGTCTATCAATATTACCTCTCAGGTTAAAGGCAGGTACATTATTTCTGGTGCTTCCTGGTAAGTAACAAAGGAGTATATGAATGCTATATGTTTATTATTGGTTTTATTTTTTTCCCTTGTGTACCCTTCTGTGATCTTCAAAATTCTTTCATCTTGTTTTTATTTTTGTCTGATAAATTAATACTATTTAGAAATAGTTAAGGAAATATATTTACTAGAAAAGGATGCAAAGAAATCTTATTGGTGAAATGATAAGGAAAAGAGCATATGAATATATGACTAATTTGATGATATGACAGGGTAATTAATGAGCTATCAGTGGTAGAACCTATTGTCTCTTGGGAGTTCATTGACCAGCCAAGGACACTTACTGGAGAGAAACAATGCGTGCCTTGTTTAGAAATATTTCCATGAGATAAAGTTAAGGGATAGTGTTATAAGTTTCAAGATTACATGTACATACAAGATGACAAGAATCCTATCTATCATCCTTAACAAGTGTGTTTAAATCCATCATACATTACACACATGATGTGCCTTGTTTTCTTTGCTTACTTTTTCATCAAATATTTTCTTTCAAATTTCTATAAATGTGAATAATTAACCCAGTGGCTTTAAACTTTTACACCAATATGAATATTCTCTAATTGTTGGAGGTTATGACTCAACAATTTTTTTAAAACAACAATTTTAGTTTTTTAAAAATCGATTTACAGAAGATTTTTCTCTTTTTATTCCTTTTTTATTACAATTTTGATGAGCTTTATCACAAATGTGATTCGTTTTTTCTGACCAAAATTTTCTCTCCAAATTGAAACTAATGTTAATATATAGTATAATTATAAAAATAACATTTTATGTGAAACTTCAACCAATTTGTGTATGAAAAGAAAATATCTAATTTTATCTCCCCTAATGATTATGATAGTGACGATATGTGTCCTTCTAGATATTGATTTTAATAGTTTGAGATTGCATTCCATTATACAGTATCCTTATACTTGACGTAGTAACCTGCTTTCTTTTGCTTGTGGCTTGAGACCATCTGTATGTTAACTATAGTTATAAACCACACATTCCAGCATGACTGTGATAGGTTTTGATGAACTGAAGGTCATCCAAAAGGTAATCAAAATAGTTTCCTAACTTTTAAAATCAGCTTTAGGGCTGGAGAGATGGCGCAGAAGTTAAGAGCACTGACTGCTCTTCCAGAGGTCCTGAGTTCAATTTTCAGCAACCACATGGTGGCTCACAACCATCTGTTATGAGATCTGGTGCCCCTTTCGGCTTGCAGGCATACATGCAGGCAGAACATTGTATACATAATAAATTTAAAAAATCTTTTAAAAAAAGTAATGATGACAATAAAAAGTCAGAAAAATCAGCTTTATACTGCAATAGTCTCTGTTTCTGCCTCTGTCTCTGTACCTCCACCTATGTCTTTCTCTTTATCTCCTCCCCCCACCTCCAAGAGGGATAGGGAGAGGAGAAATAACCTCATTTGTTTCAATACATTTTTGCTGGTTTTCTGTCAGAATGTTGTCACTGGGGAATTTGGTGCTAAAATTCTTTTCATGTCTGTTCATCTCCATGTTTATTCTTGTTCATCCAATAATGAACATGCTTATTTATTCTGTTTTTGCTATCTGATGGGCAGATCTGCACTGTCCTTCAAAATACTGTCTTATTGTTTAGTACATGTTTCGAAATAAACTGCAGTATTAATTCATTTAGGACCACAGTTTGCCAGTGTAATTGTGTTGATAGAATTGTCATTATTGTGCTGTGGCTTAGTACTTTCATCTTTACTGATCAGGTTCTTCAGAAACAATAAAATCTAACCATCTATATTTCCTGTAGCTTTGCGATTGAACTTTAGTATCTTTTGATCTTCCACACATCAGTTTTCTAGTTCTTCCACTGAAAGCAATAAAACTACTCTAATAAACAATTTCCAATCATTTGAACTTTTATTGGGTATGTCTACAAACAAAGAAAAATAATGGCCTCAGAAAAGCAGATGGCCTGACTGACTGTTCAGAAAGAGGAGAAAGACAGCTCCAGCTTCATCCAGCCTAAGTGGGAGGCTTCAAACGAGGAACAATGGAAACCCAGCTAAGGCCAAAGTCATGAAATTGAGCTGGAGTGACTTGCAGGA